AGGTGAGGTGTATGTGTGGTGGAAGTCAGGCGCAGGACACCGAGGCTCAGTCCAACAGAGTTTACTCAAAATTCCAAAAGGACACGGTAAACTAACGACCTCAAACAAAAAGAGGCGAGTATTTACGCACATGCGTAAAACACTAAATAACAAAACAAGAAACGAAACACGCAACACAAGACAGGCGAACAACAACACACAACTAATCCAAACAAACACAGGGAACTTATAGGACACGTAATAATCACAAATCAGACACAGGTGCTAAAGACAGACAAAAGCAATCGCACATGGAAATAGTCCAACGATGGCAGCTAGTACTCCGGGGACGGCGAACGCCTTTGCCTGCCCGAACCAGGAGGAGGAGCAGTCTCGGCCGAAACCGTGACAAAATGATTCCCCAAAAACCCTACTTTTTAAAATATGCTACCAGACAGTCAGTCGTCTAGTGTGCATCTTATTGTACAATTCAATTTAAACAATGCATCTCTTCCCAACACTGCCATAACAGTTTCTTCTAATATTAGTACCTTAAGAGTAAGTACTACCTCAAATCCCTATCCTAATTAGTTATCAATTAGTGAGATGTTTAACCTCTTTAGGCTGAACACATAAGTTTTCCCCTATTCCCTATCACTTCTAATGGCCGGTGGTTTCCACTGTTAGCTATTTTCTCTTCTTCTCTAATCAAGGCTCTCAGCAATGCACCCCTTCCGGATATTCTCGACACTCTAGAATATTTAGTGTTCACCTGAAGCACCGGTGATCTTCACTTGCTCGTTGATCTTCCTCTGTTTCTTCTTCTCCAATTCTGTGTCTGTCCAGAAACTGACAGTCGATATGGAACATCTGGTCCCCCCTTGGTTGGTACAATTGCCTTTGATATTGTTCAGTTAAAGCTGTAACAGTGATTGTTGATTTGATTCACTCTGATTCTTCATAACCAACACTTCTTTTCTTCTTCTCCACCACCAGTTATAAGTTGTATTTGATAGAGTTTTCTTCGTCCGGTTCTTCTCGTTGTGGACCTATCAGTATTCTTTAAAAGGTTATCTTCTAAGTTCTGTCCTTGAAATATCATCTTCTTACCAGTGGCCTTTCCTTTGGCCTCACTGTATTATTATTTTCCTTCAATTCTTGAGGTCTTCATCCAGTCGTGTTACTTCTTCCATTTCTCCTTTCCTCTCTTGTACCTTCAACTTTCATCAGAGATCAAATCTCTAGTATCCATGTCTTCTTTCCTCTCTTGCCACTTCCTTCTGATCACAGAGTCACTTCCTTCTGATCACAGAGTCACCTCCACCCCTGACCTCTCATCATCATCATCCTCTTCTCCTTAAGTTCCCAGACATCTCGGTTTTCTTCCGTCTTCTGGATTCATCTTCATCGTTGTTTCTGCTCGTATTCGTCTTCATCTCTGATGCCACAATCACCATGCTAGATAATCACTGAAAGCTTCCTTCTCGTAAGGTGGGTGTCTTTCTGCTGAATCCATATGTGAGAAAGGTGTACTAACTTCTGCCATTAGTCTCTCCTAACACTTCTCTAACCCTACTTTGATTACTTTGATTAAAAAATGACTATTTCAATCAATTTTCCCCTATATCAAGCCCTTTATATTCCCTTATTGTGAACTATCCTATTTTAGACTATATAAGTTATATAGACTTCCCCCCTGTAATTATTAATATAACCCTAACAATTCCAAATAAATCCTGAATAATTAAACCCAATTTTTATTCCTATATCCTATGTCACCAACTTATCCATTAGTGTTGAGTATATCTTACCACAACCCATCAACTGCCAGTAAATGCAAGTTAGTCATCTTCAGACTAAAATACCCCTAAACAAAGCCTTTAACCCCTTGCTCTATAACCCCTAATTATCATAAATTTAAAGAATAATGTCAGTACCTGATTTCCAATCGAACTGCAATCCAGCCCAGTGATGCACATAGCTTCCAAAATGTAACTTTTATTGAAATAGAATTTGCCAAGCCCCTTGTAAAATCGTCATAACATCACATATCCTGTTAGGGAAAGATTTTGTAACCATAATCAGTACCAAAACCTTTTTTTTTGACTTGATCCTCTGCCACGTGACGTGATCACTTCCTGTATCTCCTCGCTCCTCTCACTTAGCGTTCCTCTCATATGACAGAAGAACAAAGACACAACATAACATTTTAGTCGTTAATGCAGTCACTGAGTATCTCCAACCATTCAATATTCGTTTGTTCTACATGATTCACTCTAAGACTAAACTCAGAATTAAATAAATCGCTCAAAAACCTTTTTTTATTTTTATTTTAATCCGTTATTTAATTATTTAATTCAATCTATTATAATCCGTTATCCTATATTTAATGTATAAATTCAATAGGCTACAAAACAAGTTTCATCTTTAACCAATATTCGTGTTAAACTCTCCCTGTGCCTATTTGTTCCGTCGTCTGTGTTCCTCTGTCTCCCCCTGCCGTTTAACCAATGTGTTGTTTTGCAAAATCCCACGCATGCGCAAATATCATTTACTAAATAGATCGCTCCAAACCATTTCATTTAATTTTAATCGTCTTATTTTAATTAATTATACTCCGTCAACATATATTCGATCTATAAATGTACTACATCTCGCCAAATAGTTTAACGTTCACATAACAGTTACTTTAACGATTTTAAAAGAGTCGTGTTCACCTCTCTCTTCCGGTAGCCCTTAAACCCCTGAAAAAGAAACCCCAAACAAACATATGACCTTACGCCACCATTTTGTTTCGTCGACCGCATGTCGTAGATTTAGTGCCGTAAACCAAACCGTGTCCTAATCTCGTGTCATAAACTCCCCCTTTCTGTAGTGTAGTGTCGCAAAATTAAACGCATGCGCATACCCATTCCTCAATACAATTTCACCGTGGAAGGAAGATTCTCTACTCTCTCTCCCCAAACATAATAACAGTCCAGCTGTAATTCCCCATTTCCCCCTTATAATCAAACAACATTTACCAGCGCTCACAAAACATATAACCTGACTTACAAACACATAAACAAGTTTAAGAGACTTTCACCCGTCGCAACGGAATCTCTAAGGATATCCGTTAGCATGTAGCACACAACACAATTAACCTGTAGCATTAGCCTTTAGCTTAGCCTAAGGTACACCATAGCATGATTCACACTTTAGCCTTACAAAGATTAGCCTGAACAACGATGTACCACGTGGCCTGAAACAATCAAGCCTTAGCTTCAGCCTCTAGCCAACTGTGGCCTACTAGCTATACCAATGAACACCCCGCACCGTGGCCCAATCATTTTCCATGATTATCAATAATATCTCCTTCTAACTTTGTGTTGCCGTAAGTTCTGGATAATCATAGAGAGGTTACCCCAAGCATTATAGTTCGTCAACCATACGATGAGTATATAACATACATATAATCCGTCCAGCTTAATAATTCCCTGAATTAACCATACACCACATAACGCGTTGCAAGGATTTTATGGCCCATTCCTATGAATCGCCTCGATTCGAGGGCTTTTCCAGATTCCCCGGTGCCCTAATTATGCAGACGTCTTCCAACCTTTATTCTCTACCAATCCATTTGTACAATCCATTGTTGTAAACAGCGTTTACACATCAACCAAATTTAGAATATTTTCGTTCAGACTCCCAGTTAACAGCCATAACGCCACCTGAGGCCAGGTCATAATGGAACATCTCCTCAATGTACACAAGTCATATCCAATCTAACAACCTCCGAAGCGGTAAGAACACTCACCCTTTTCCCTCAGAGAGAGTTAGGCCGGCGGTTGACTGAAACAAGGAGGAGACGCAAACCCAGACCCCACGTTGGGCGCCATTATGTCGTATATGATGAATGGTGGCCATTATCGCTGTCAACAAAAAGTCCGTTATGCTGCATCGTGTCAGAAGTTTTTATTCATATCACGAGGTTACAGCATAAATTACAGACACGCGTTGCCTGGAGAACGACTTCCCAGATTGATATGGTCGTTCTGCCGTCTAATCGTTTACCCCCTATTTATAAACAATGCAAAGGGAGGGGCTACTCCCTTCTTCTGGCCAATCACCAGTCTCCCCTCGGGCGTCACCCTCCAAGCGGCACATTTCAAATAACATCATAAAACATCCCCCCTTTGGCCTGAACAACCAACATTCCATTTCGTCATGAAAAACATTTAACAAAGGCATAATCTTCAGATACGATAGGGGCAAAGGTTCACCTTCCAACAGGACAATGACCCTAATCACACAGCCAAGACAACGCAGGAGTGGCTTCGGGACAAGTCTCTGAATGTCCTTGAGTGGCCCAGCCAGAGCCCGGACTTGAACCCGATCAAACATCTCTGGAGAGATCTGAAAATATCTGTGCAGTGACGCTCCCCATCCAACCTGACAGAGCTTGAGAGGATCTGCAGAGAAGAATGGGAGAACTCCCCAAATACAGCTGTGCCAAGCTTGTAGCGTCATACCCAAGAAGACTCAAGGCTGTAATCGCTGCCAAAGGTGCTTCAACAAAGTACTGAGTAAAGGGTCTGAATACTTATGTAAATGTTATATTTCATTTTTCTAAAATTTCTAAAAAAAACAGTTTTGCTTTGTCATTATGGGATATTGTGTGCAGATTGATGAGGGAAAAATCAATTTTAGAATAAGGTTGTAACAAAATGTGGAAAAAGTAAAGGGGTCTGAATTTTTTCCGAAGGCAATGTATGCTATCTTGGATCCCTCGAAGACTGTTCCTCCTATTCCCCAGATGACTGGAAATAAACATATCTATTCAACCAACCTGACTAACAGACCTGACTTAAGGCCTAAACCTGCTGCTATTAATCACCCAATTGTGTGTTTACAAAAGGTAACTATCCATGGGGTTTAGTGTTGATCCAGTCCAGCTATGGTGTTGGAATCGAGATTCTTCCTAAGCTTTTCTTAACTTTTCAACTCAAATAATTAAACCAAACATTCCCCCTTGTATGTAGACCAGAGGGATGGATGCCCCTGCTACCTATCCCTGCCTCTAGTAGTGCCGAGGTTCATAGAGGATTGGTTTTCCACATGGCAATCCTTAATGGTGAGTGTGACTCAGATACCCTGGAAGAGAGAGGTACTGTTTGCCGTAGCACAGATACTTTTTTGCCAACATTAACTTGGCGATACTATCTTCGTTCTCGATTCGGCCAAACATGCATCTTCTAAAATGTCCGTGTCCAGTTGCAGGTGATTCATTTGAACTTAGAAAATGTTCTGTGATTAAAATACATGTTTTGTTTGCTCCATGAAGTAATCCAACAATGTGTACACCCCCCATCTTGTCTTTTTCAAATCTTCTCTTATTTATTGAGACAGGCCCCAAAGTGCCTCATGTCATGATGACACTCACCTGTCTCAAACCATGACAGAAGATTTGAATGGAGGCATACACATTGTTGGATTACTTCATGGAGCAAAATAATAATTTACAGTATTTTAATACTGGAGCATTTTCTAAATTCAAACGAACCACCTGCAACTGGACACTGACATTTTAGAAGATACACATTTGGCTCTATCAAGAACGAAGATAGTATCGCCAAGGTTGGTCGTAAATTCTGTGCTATACCAAACAGTACCTATCTTGTAACGGCTAATGGAGCATAACATTAGCCCGTTACAATCTGCTAGCTAGTTGAAACCTGTGGCTGCACAGTATGTCTGAATATTGCTCCCTCTACCTGTTGCCTGTAGAATACCTTACTGGTCTGGCCAAGACCTATAGGTAGCTGCCAAAATAAAGGAAACACCAACATAATGTATCTTAATAGGGGGTTGGTCCACCACGAGCCAGAACAGCATCAATGCACCTTAACATAGATTCTACAAGTGTCTGGAACTCTATTGGAGGGATGCGACACCATTCTTCCACGAGAAATGTTGACAGTGGTGGAAAACGCTGTCTCATGCGCCACTCCAGAAACTCCCATAAGTGTTCAATTGGGTTGAGAGCTGGTGACTGAGACGGCCATTGCTTATGGTTTACATCGTTTTCATGCTCATCAAACCATTCAGTGACCACTCGTGCCCTGTGAATGGGGGCATCGTCATCCAATGGGTGCATAGCCATGGGAGCCAAAATAATGGCCTGCCCAGCATTTTTATACATGACCCTAAGCATGATAAGATGTTAATTGATTAATTAACTCAGGAACCACACCAGTGTGGAAGCACCTGCTTTCAATACACTTTGTATTCCTCATTTAATAAAGTGTTTCCATTATGAAAACATCGGCTAGTGCAGGGATCATCAACTAGATTCAGCCAATTTTTTTTTAGGGCGGATGGTATTTGCAACATACTGCAGTTATACTGCACTCTAACTGCAGTTATACTGCAGTAACATAATTACAAATAATTTGTAAACTGCAAATTGACCGCAAGAAGCCCAAACGGATATAATATTTAACTAAAACAGAATCATTCCAAACCTTGCTTACATTTGTATACAATCACATACTGTATATTTCTCTATTATGCGTGGGAATACTTTGTAACAGATTTCTTAAATTAAAATCACTTGGAGCTGATTTGCAGGTGTTTTAACAGTCTTTTATGTCCGACAATAATAATAAAAAAATCTATAAAAAATATTTTATTTTGCTCAGAAAACTTTTGGGGAAAAATAAAATCACCCGCGGGAAGCTAGTTGTGGAACCCTGGGCTAGTGAGACCATTACTAAAATCAAATCAAATCAAATGTTATTTGTCACATGCGCCGAATACAACATGTGTAGGTGGACCTTACCGTGAAATGCTTACAAGCCCTTAACCAACAATGCAGTTCAAGAAAGTTAAGAAAATATTTACTACTGTTCCAGCTGGCTGATAGCCGTTGTTACTTTGGTAGTGTAAAGCATGGCTATTCAACTCTTACCCTACGAAGTCCGAACCTGCTGGTTTTCTGTTCTACCTGATAATTAACTACACACACCTGGTGTCCCAGGTCTAAACAATAAAAAACTTAGTGGAACTGGCTTCGAGATCCAGAGTTTAGTTTGAGGAGTGTAAAGCATAGCACAAAGAATTTGACCAACTTTTACTTGACGATACACTTCCTCAATTCCTGACTTCAATGCTCCGTTATTAAATTAAACAAATCTTTGGCTCCGTGAAGTAATCCAACAATGTGTATGCTGCCATCTTGTCTATTTCAAATATTTTCATTGATCAAGACAGGTGGGTGTCATTCAATGCAACGCTTGATTTCTGAGTCACGCTCATGACATGAGACACTTTGGGGTTGACACCCACCAGTCTCAATCAATGAGAGATCATTTGAAATAGACAAGATGGTGGCAACACATTGTTGGATTACTTCATGGAGCAAAAAAGTGGATTTAACTTAATAACGCAGCATTTTCTACATTCAAACAAACCACCTGCTACAACTAGCCATGTACGTTTAGAGGACATGTGTTGTCTTCCAAGTTGGGAATTTAACAAGTATCACCAATTAAAGGTTAGTCAAAACATTATGTGCTATGCTTTACACTACCTAAGTAACAATGGCTATCAGCCAGCTGGAACAGTAGTAAAGGTCTGACTAGGCGACGTTTTAAAAGCTAGCCAAGACCCCGTGTTTCCCGTCGGCTCCTTCATCCCCATCTAGGCAGCAGTGGAGCAGAAGGCCCATCAGCCTTTGCTGCTGCTCTTGGAGGAGTGTGTGGCGGCCACAACACCAGTGCTGCAGCCTGAGAGCCGACGGTGTACCCCATAATCCCGAACAAGGGGTATGTAGCAGACCTGGTTATTATGACCATGTGTAGGAGACAGACTTATCCAATCATCCAAGTTCTATAGCTTTCTGTCTAGAATGATCATTGGACGATGCATTTTCTTTAGTTGCCTTGCAGGTGGAAAGACTGGGAACTCCAGGTTCCTGACTAGGTACCATTCATCTGCTATCCTGCTTTACATGCAGTCCTTCAAGTTAGCTCTCAGAGAGGAAGTGAGTGGACCACAAGTTCTCGAAATGAATGGGTAGTGTTCATACTGTAGATCTTGACTGTTATCCCCTCTCATTTCACCCCAGGTGTATGTATAGTCATTGTAAGCTTGTTGCATGGAACTCTGAGGTTTTTAATAAGGGAAAGAAGGCATGCCAATACATTAGAGATCGGAGGGTAGTATTGCAGTTAGGGACAGATCACAATTTACTGTGGGGGAGGGGTGGTCCAAAATAGAAGAGGATTGTCAAACTTTTTGTTTTGCTTTGGGGAGGGTTGTGTGTTTAAAAAAAAAAAATTGGGCACAGGGGAGGGTCGTGCGTTTTCTTTCCCTGGTTTACATTAGCTCTTTTGCAGGTTTTACTATATAATTTATTCCATCTTAGCCAAATTTCCTCATCTACTTGCATGCGCCTCCTCTATATCAAGGTGTTTTGGTACTTCCCTTATTCACTATGCTTTTCCGTGTGCTAACTATTACTATACCACAGGTCAGTATAGTCTACCAGTCTAACGGTCTATCCTGCCCACTATCCAACATTCATAGTGACAATAGTCGAAGGTGGATCGTTTGTCCAGATCTGCAATTGGCTAACTAGCAATCATACCAAACATAAAAACATTCAAAGCTGCATACATTTTTTAGACAAGAACAAATAGGAGATAGGCAGCGGAGAGGCTAGGTGCATCATTGCGCATGAAAGAACAGTGAAGACATGATACACACAGCTCAAAAATCTCTCCTATTGATCTTGTTTAGGGACATTACAACTATCCTACCTAAACAGCAATTAATAATAGCATTATTGTTTCCAAGTGAGTACAACATTCTAGGCTGCAGTGAAATTGTAATTTGAATAATGGCGCAAAAGCCCTGTGATTTGAATGTTTCATTAGATTTGGATCAGTTGTGGGTCTACTCTTGATAGTTTATAAGGTCTAGAAAAGCACAGTAGCAGGCCAGTCTGGCTGTATTTCTACTTCTGATACTGAATGCGCTGTCTGTTGCAGATCATCATTCTGCCAAGTCGTCCTATAATAATGTGGCCACATATCCTCCCGGCAGGCCCAGTTATTCAGGAAAGCTTGTTTTGTTTCATTCTGTTGAGCCATTTTCTTTGGCCAAATGAAGTTCTAACTGTAATGCTGTGTTTGCTGCAATGTAATAGCCTGCTCGTATTTTCCCTGTAAACAATGGCTTACTTTTGATATTACCCTAATAAAGTTTAGAAACTTTTGTGAAGGTTTGGTGTGGCTATTATTAAACATTTTACTGCAGTGGGCTAAATCAGGGTCACACATTGTTTCTTGGTAGTGTTAAACAAATCTACATTGAAACAAAAGTATACACCTCACACCAGTGGAGGCTCCTCAGAATTTCATAAAAATAATAAATAGTGAAACATAAAAAAAAGTTATCCTTTTTAGATAAAACTATGCTAAATATATTCACATCACCAAATAACTGATTAAAACACACTGTTTGAAATGAATGTCTACAGTAGCGTCAGCAGCACTCTATAGGGTAGCACCATGGTGTAGCCGGAGGACAGCTAGCTTCTGTCCTCCTCTGGGTACATTGACTTCAATACAAAACCTAGGAGGCTCATGGTTCTCACCCCATCCATAGACTTACACAGTAATTATGATCATTTCCGGAGGACGTCCTCCAACCTATCAGAGCTCTTGCAGCATAAACTGACGTTGTCCACCCAATCAAAAGATCAGAGAATGAATCTAGTACTGAAAGCATAACTACAGCTAGCTAGCACTGCAGTGAATAAAATGTGGTGAGTAGACTCAAAGAGAGAGAAAGGCAATAGTTGAACAGTGACACTAATATCTCCCAATGCCTAAAATCGAGGAGAAAATAAAAGTTGATCAACTCATAGTGTCAACCTGTGCATGAGAGGAAGCCAAGCTTGCAGAGTAGCCTTTGTTAACGTTTCATGTCCACAACATGTCCACAACACATGGCAGCTGGGTGGCGGACCACACCTTGTTGTCTCTGGGAAATTAGACATCATTGGCAAAAGTGGGCATGCAAGTAATCCATACCCAACCCATCGTGACGCACTCACTTACAAATCTCGTTTTGGACGAGACTGACTTTATGACCAAAATTATCGTATTTACACTTTGTAGTCAATTTTGACACTATAATGAATGTTTCTGACTCATATCAATGCCACATAGGCCGTTTATAACCAGATCATTTGGTTCTACGAGGCAGTTCCCCTTTAATTTTTCTGTCCCTGTACAAATACTTTGGAAATGCATTATTGTTTGCTTCTTTCCATGAGCTAATCACTGATCTGACATGACTGAATGAAAGCACTACACCATAATAAAAGGTTTTAGTTTTTAAAATGTTTCTTTACCGATAGAAACCACTATCTCAGTTTTATCTGCACAAGATTACATTTGCTTGATGTTACCGTTCAACGATAGCATTGCAATGAAAACCAACTGATCATGTTGCTTTAGGAACTATGGCTGCTTTACATGGGCAGCCCAATTCAGATATTTTTTCAAGTAATTGGTCTTTTGACCAATCACAGATCTTTTCACAGCAGATCTTTTTCAGAGCTGTTTTTATTGGTCAAAAGACAAATTAGTGAAAAAAAAGATCTGAATATGGCTGCCTGTGTAAACGCAGCCTATCTGATAATAAATAAGTTAGGAGACTGGGATGAGTTCATACCGATTTCCAAATCAGTGATTGATTGCCTGCAGCTGGAGGTTGTTAACAGCTAACACACTGATGACAGTGATTAACTTGATTGCTTGCTGGCAGGTATAAATAAGCCACTTCAACTGAACATTGGCATTCACTGAATACTATTTAGTCATGAAGGCTTACTTTTGGCACAGTGCGGTCCTCCTAGGCATGGCTGTTGCTACCATTGTGGCACAGGAAGGTAATGTGTTTTATTATTATATTTGTGTATTCAGTTTTTGTTTGGAAAGTGAGCAGTGACATTAAAAAAGCTCATGGCAACGCTGCAGAAGATTAGTAGTTTTATATTTGAGATTAGAAATAGATTAACTTTATTATTTTCCTCCTGGCAGATTTAAATGTAGACTGTGGCCTTGACTCAGTCACCCTGAGATGGAGGGCGGCCCAGTCACAAATGGACCCCTCACTACTCCGGCTGGGAGGCTGTTATCCTGGCCGTGTCTCTGCTGGGGAGGCCATGTTTCAAGTGGAACTCAGTGACTGTAACTTCAGGAGAATGGTAGGGGTTAGCTAAGGTTGTATCATGTGTATTTGGCTGTCAGAAATGGTGTTTAACCTCTATGCCTTCCACCTCACTACAGGTGACTGGGGACACATTGATGTACATGAATGAGCTGACCTATACGTCTGCTCCCAAAGCTCAACTGAAGTCTTTCTCTCACCCAGTGGTTTGTTCCTATGAAAGGTGACCTGTGGCTGTTTGTGTACTTTAAGAATACATTTCTGTTTATTGATGTTGCATCAGGTGTCCTTTTAACCATAAACAACATTGACTCTTGGCTAAATGTTTAATCTATTTCCCTGGGTCTATGTAGGCCTGCAGACTGGGCACCTCGCATATTTGACCCAGTGCTGTTTCATACATATGGTCAAGGAGATCTAGTCTTCCGCATGGGACTTATGAAGGGTAGGTTTGAGACTACCTGAAGTACACAACTTGACTCCTGTAGATGTAAGACTAATCCCATCTGTATCCTGCAGATGACTTCTCTGGACCACATCTGTCTAGGGAATACCCCCTGGGCTCCTTCATCCACATCTCTGCAGCAGTGGAGCAGATGGTCCATCAGCCCTTGCTGCTGCTCTTAGAGGAGTGTGTGGCAACCACAACCCCAGAGCTGCAGTCTGAGGGCCCAGTGTACCCCATCATCACCAACATGGGGTATGTACCACTGGGCAATACAGCGGGATGCTATTAGCGCTTTTGCTCCAAGTAAATTTAGTTTCTTGCAACTAATCTTTAGTGATTGTCAAATGTTTTGCCATCAGATGTCTTGTCGCTAGCAAGACTTCAAACTCAAAGTTCGAACCAAGACAAGAAACCTCAGAAATCCATCTGTCACTGCAAGCCTTCAAGTTCGCTGTTGGCGAGGAAGTGGGTGTACTTATCTACATGATTGACATTTTGGCACTCTTGAATATGTGCTCTAATATCCCTTATCTATCCTCAGGTGTATATTCACTGCAACCTTTTGGCCTGGGATCCCAGTGGCCTTGACACCAGCAAGAAAGCCTGCCACTATGTGAAAGAGCATGGGTAAAAATAATATTGTGTACATGTTATGAAGACAAACTAAATATTTTAAAGAAGTACTACTTTAACTTGCCAAAGGTAATGATGAGTACTACTCTGGTTTCATGTGCTTATTCCCCCCTCCCCTCCAGTTGGGAGCTCCTTGATGACCCCTACCATAGTACCCTCTGTGGCTGCTGTGACTCCAGCTGCAAGTCCCGGAGGAAGAGGGGAAATGGCTCAGGTATTACTAGTCTTTCTGCACCCACTAAAATGGTGTTTACCTATTGTCTCTGGGCACTAGATGGGATGCCTTAATTTCTGATGTGTCCAGCAACCAGGTTAAATGTTTGAACTTTATATTTTCAGGGGAACATGGGTTAACTCAAAATGCTGTTCTTATTGGACCACTTACAATCACTGACAACTCACCGGCCTGAAAAGATTGACTAGGTTAGATTTTTACCCCCTCCCCATGCGCATTTAAAAGTTTATTGTTGACGATGCGTTATTTCATTGCCCTGTAAGCCAGTTCTTGTATTTGTTTCAGGTATGAACCTCTGAGGCCAGCTGTGATTCCTGGGAGGTGGGCAGCCATCTACCACGCATGCCCTGACTCTGGCGTGGCTGACTTGATTTGAAATAAATGTTTAATACTTACAATGGTGTCCTGATCTCTTGGCTTGTCTCATTAAGCATCTAAAGCTATACTGGGCATGAGTTGAACTTGGTTTTGCAATCAGGTTAGTGGTTAACATTGTGGGATGGAGGATGCAATACAAGTGAAGGTAACTTATGCACTGTTTCATTAAACCATGATAGCGCTTGGCCAAATCAACTATGCTTACAGAGAAGTAGACTCCAACTAGTGGCCCAAAGATGCTTGCAAAAGCATGACAAACTGTGCAGTTGACGTGGCTATACAAATGATCTGGAGGGGCCTACATTGTCACAACAGAGAAGGCAACCTTTTTCTTAAGAGCTATGTTCACTAATCAGTTTTTAGTTGTAATCAAAGCTGCTAACAAGGGACGCCTGAGCCACATCACTCAGATTGAAGGTACAATAACTAACATAGCTCCAGTTCTAGGCATTCACTTGCTCAGTCTGCCCTATGGCTTTCAGTTATTTAACCTTGACTGACCAAGGTCTCTTTTATACTGTAGATGAGCCCTGTATACGCAATATACAGTCATAGTAAACCAACACGTTCTTCAGTAAAGGTCCTCAATCAGCCTTTTGAATTGCCAATTTTAGTGCCGTGAAGATTATTCCACAAGTAAGGTGCGAAAATCTGAAGGCAAATTTACCCAACTCAGTGGATCAAAGGATCTCCAGTTAGCCAGCTCTGTGCCCGGTTTCCCAAGAGCATCTTAAGACGGAGTTCATTGTTGAACCCTTCATAGGAGCATCTTTAAATCTCCGAGCTGTTGCACTTAAACACATCTAACCGCTGCCTCAGACCACTCCAACAGCGACGTGCGTGGTTAATGCTTTTTTGCCCTCCTGCGTCACTTTATACACAGATCTCCACTAAACATAACATCAGTTTATCCATCTCTCTGTGACTGCGAAAACTTCAGAACGAAGTTGACGACAAATATGAAGTTGCCTGTCTTTGCAATTGATACATAAAAAGATGCTTCAAATGAACACTGACTGCATTAAAATATAAACCATACGCCTATTTCAATCATATTGAAATGCATTTCATGTTCAATCGAGTTCTATTTTGCTACTGTCTTAACATATTTCATGTGTAGCCTGACGTCCAATGATGTGCCAAATCTGTGATTTAGTGCATTTTTATTGCGTAAGCATTCGAATAAGCCGCCTCAATATTTGCAGCCGTCCGTAATATCTCTCGAGGAACTGATCCATCGTCAGTATTGTGAAACAATTCTAATGTTAAGGAAATATTTTAATGGAGAAGCTAATCCGAGAGCAGTGTTTCCTTTCTTTCGATCCTATCAGTATCGACACATGCACATAGCGACCATTTTCTCTCCATGGTGTTTTGGGAAATGCATGTTACATCTTCGGCTGTTGATGGAAAGATGCATCGTTAACACTCGTAAGCCTAAATTCCATCGCTATTGGGAATACTGGTCTGGTATCTCGTACGTCTAAGTTAATGAAGTAAGGTACGGAGCAAGTTTATGCAGGAGGGCTATATTAACAAAATGAGTGCAATGCATCGATCTACGAAACTTAAAAGAGGGCCAGCCTACTTTTTAATTTTTATTTTATTTTATTTTAATTAACCTTTATTTAACCAGGTAAGCCAGTTGAGAACCAGTTCTCATTTACAACTGCGACCTGGCCAAGATAAAGCATAGCAGTGCGATAAAAACAACAACACAGAGTTACATATGGGGTAAAAAACATAAAGTCAAAAAATACAACAGAAAATATATATACAGTGTGTGCAAATGTAGCAAGTTATGGAGGTAAGGCAATAAATAGGCTATAGTGCAAAATAATTACAATTAGTATTAACACTGGAATGCTAGATGTGCAAGAGATTATGTGCAAATAGAGATACTGGGGTGCAAAAGAGCAAAATAAATAACAATATAGGGATGAGGTAGTTGGGTGGGCTAATTTCAGATGGGCTGTGTACAGGTGCAGTGATCGGTAAGGTGCTCTGACAACTGATGCTTAAAGTTAGTGAGGGAGATAAGAGTCTCCAGCTTCAGAGATTTTTGCAATTCGTTCCAGTCATTGGCAGCAGAGAACTGGAAGGAATGGCGGCCAAAGGAGGTGTTGGCTTTGGGAATGACCAGTGAGATATACCTGCTGGAGCGCAGACTACGGGTGGGTGCTGCTATGGTGACCAATGAGCTAAGATAAGGCGGGGATTTGCCTAGCAGTGATTTATAGATGGCCTGGAGCCAGTGGGTTTGACGACGAACATGTAGTGAGGACCAGCCAACAAGAGCGTACAGGTCACAGTGGTGGATAGTGTATGGGGCTTTGGAGACAAAACGGATGGCACTGTGATAGACTACATCCAATTTGCTGAGTAGAGTGTTGGAGGCTATTTTGTAAATGACATCGCCGAAGTCAAGGATCGGTAGGATAGTCAGTTTTACGAGGGCATGTTTGGCAGCATGAGTGAAGGAGGCTTTGTTGCGAAATAGGAAGCCGATTCTAGATTTAACTTTGGATTTAACTAATACAGAATGCAGTGATGTGTACTGAACCTATCGCCTGTATTTAAGCGTATCGCACTCATATAGAAAATATTGCCATAGTCTATAACTGGTATGAATGTCGACTGGATTTGTTTTCCGCTATTTAATGAAAGGCATGACCTATTTCTATAAAATAATACTATTTTAATTCTTAATTTCTTAACTAACTCATCAACATGCTTTTTGAAGATATATTTTTGTCAATCCAGATATACAGATATTTATAAGCTGGGACACGATCAATGAGGGCACCATCCAATGTACAAATGCATAAATCATTAGATACATCTTTATGGAGAATAACATATACTTGGTTTTACCTGCATTAAGTACCAATTTCAGTTCAACAAAGGCTTTGAAGCTCCCGAAAGAGCCTGGTCAACCGTGGGGGCAATAGAATACACAACAGTGACATTTGCATACAGGTGCATGTAAAAGATTGGCACAAAATTGTCTTAGCATGCCATGGTTGTTCATTCAAGGAACAATACTTTATTTTTCTGTAAATCACTTTGAACATCAAACTGTCAAATGTGGGACTGAAATGTTTGTCGTTTTTATCTCTCCTCTCATGGGACACACACCATTAACAACACTCCCATCCGGTAAGAATGAATGATTATCAGTTGATTTCCACAGTGCATCATTGAAAGTGTAGTAGTTCGACTGAGCAGACCTCTCTCCTCCATTCTCAGGTCTGAGAATCTGACTAACATGATCCAATACCAGTTCTTGACTGGGTCATCACTGCAAATCCTTTCAGAAATGGCAAGTGATATATATATATATATATATATATATATATATATATATATATATATATTTGGGGGGGGGGGGGGCTCCGTTTGGGAGCCACTGCTTTATAGCTGTCACAATACTCATTTGAGACTTTCCCCTCTTTTCACAGGCATCACCAGGACAATTATAAACAAATGGGTATACATCTCTACTATTTATCACATATTGCTTTTCAATATGCTGTCCGTATTAGCTCATGAGCTCAAAGTGTTTACTGACAACTGTGATCTGTTTCCTCTACCAGTGGCTGTCACCTCCCCAGGTAATGATGAACACTGATGGGTTGTGGTCAGAGGCATCTTAGAGATCTTAACATGACAATACAATTGAAATGAATCCCCATGGGGAAATTCCATTTTAAACCTCAGATGATGAGCAACGGTGTGTAACTTTCTGTATCTATCCTTACTCTTACAGTCACCCCTCATTCACATCCTGTTAGGTAGAATATATTAATATGGTTGCAGACAGCCATGTACAGATGTAGGATCTTAATTTGATCACCCTGTTGCAGGATAACTTTTCTTCAAAGCAGGAAATGTAAAACTTGTAGTGTAATTGAGGTTTAAAAAGGCTTCTGACATCTGACACTTTCCACTTTCAAATTTCAGACTTGATTAATTATAATCCATATCATTCCTATTTCCTGTTGATTATTTTCATGCTGTAGCAAACTGGCTACAATTAAGATCATATATCTGTATGTGTACTAACAAAACAGTCTGTCAAACAATGTCCTATATTGTCTCAATTTATTCAATTCAGAGATGTTTTCACCCGTCAATAACTGTTTCAGACACCCAGGCTCTGCTGAATCCCAGGGGAGGTTCAGAGACAGAAACCCTAGACTCACCCTTGCAGTGAGTTTGCATTCCTTCTTTGCTGAAGCGGGTTTCATGTCCGTCCTCTGTCTTGACATTCTTCTGCAGCTGACTAACTCTTTCCTCCAGTAGTGCCTTTGCTTATGGTCTCAATCTCGCCTGCTCCCAGACTCCGCCTGGTTCTGCCACATCAATCTCCAGCCTGAACTCTCTACACAAGTGTGGTAGCTTCAGTGAGTGGTACACACCAGATTACTTGATCTCATAAAAAAAATACATTTTGGCCACAGTTACATGCCAAACATTTTTTAAAGACGTCACAGAAGTAATTCAACAGTCTACATAGTGACAGCTAGGTGGGGTTGGGATGGTCAACTGTATGGGGACCTGGGATCAGGGGAGGGAAAGGGGTTCTTATGGTCTTCAACCATTTTTATTTTCACACATTGCCATGTCCAAATTGTATAATTTCTAACCGTAAACAAATTACCAAACTGTGCCATTGTATACTGAACAAAAATATAAACGCAACATGCAACAATTTCAAAGATTTTATTGAGTTACAGTTCATATGAGGAAATCAGTCAATTGAAATAAATAAATTAGGCCCTAATCTATGGATTTCACGACTGGGAATACAGATATGCATCTGTCGGTTACGGATACCTTAAAAACAAACTGGCCTCACAATGGGCCTCAGGTTCTCTTCAAGGTATTTTTGTGCATTCAAATTGCCATCGATAAAATGCAATTGTGTTCGTTATCTGTCGCTTATGCCTGCTCATACCATAACCCCACCACCACCATGGGGCACTCTGTTCACAATGTTGACATCAGCAAACCGCTCGCCCACACGACACCATACACATGGTCTGAGGTTGTGAGACCAGTTGGACGTACTGCCAAATTCTATAAAACGACATTTGAGGCGGATTATGGTAGAGAAATGAACATTAAATTACCTGCCAACAGCTCTGGTGGACATTCCTGCAGTCAGCATGTCGTTTTTATCTCTCCTCTCATGGGACACACACCATTAACAACACTCCCATCCGGTAAGAATTAATGAATATCAGTTGATTTCCACAGTGCATCATTGAAAGTGTAGTAGTTCGACTGAGCAGACCTCTCTTCTCCATTCTCAGGTCTGAGAATCTGACTAACATGATCCAATTCCAGTTCTTGACTGGGTCATCACTGCAAATCCTTTCAGAACTGGCAAGTGATCCACATTGACTAAATTTAATTTCAATTCCAGTGACAAAACAGAGATCCAATTTATAAATTCAGATCGATTTCAGTATGTGTTCTAACATAACATTAAGCCAAAAGACAACTAAGTATTTTGGCATAGTTCTTACGTCTTTCTGCAGCATCTGTGATGGAAAAGCTGACCCCCATCTAAGAAAGTTCTGGGAATTAAAGGTCTCCCTCTAACCAGTTTTCACACAAAACAAGAAAACATTCACACAATTGGAAATGTTTTTTTTTAAAAATGTATTTCTAGTGACGCAAATTTGAAATTGAACATACATTAATTTATGAAATGAGTGCCATCTGTCCAGTGAAGTACAAATGTAAAAAAAAACGTAAGTTTACAACTACAACTGAAGGCTGCAACAGAGACTAGTGTAATAAGACATTAACATTTCTCCTTTAGCATTCTTGTACTTTCATTGTAATCTTCTCATAGCTAACAGAAAAAACGTTTACACTAGAAAACGTTGATTAAATACTTTACAGTATACCTATTTGAATTTGACACATTTGCATGTTGTTTTTTCCATCTCTGAGGCATAGGAAACGGCCTACACAAAACACTAGTTATTGCTTTGGATTATAGTGGATTAAGACAAGCTATTACTTCTATGCCTCAGTCTCTTCTCTGCTGAACTTTGAATTTGGTTGGATTACATAATTCCAGTGACTTCTGTGCCCCTAATCATTCTGCTCACACAAATGCTTGATATAGGCAGAATACTCTGCCCCCACCAATCTGGGGCATCAACAAGGGGAAAAAAACTGCACACACAGTGATAAAATAAGCCTACATTGCAGCCCTTCAGAACATCATTCATTTTGAGACAGGTGAGCAGAGGCCATAAAATACAGGATTTTACAGGATCAAATAGTGCAATTCAGTTGATCAAAATATGTTTTAAACTTGTGTGGTCTGCGTGGACATTGAACTTTACTTTAAAACATCTGCAGGTCAGTGCAAGCTACGTAACAATTTTAATAGGAATTCAAACTTTTATAAAAAGGAATACATTTAATGAACATTATGGCAGCTAAAATGTCAGGGTTAAAAAATTCAAGTGCAACATGTCTATTTAGAAGGATAAAGTGTTAATGTCCAGTTTGTTCATCTAGTGAAAAGGAATTGTAGGTTGTAAAGGAATGTTTACTACTTCCAGTAATTAGTCAGTGTCTTTACCCTAGTGCAGTTTCACTTCTGAAAAATGCAGAACTACACTACCTAAGGAGCTCCAACCAATACATACTTTATATCCAGTTAATTATATGTTGCTACAATACTGGACTACACATTTTATCATAACACAAACAAACAAAACAAGGAAAATAAGGGGGGTGGGGGAATTGAACCAGTGCACTAGGTACTGTCCTATCTATAGCAGGTAGGCAGCACAAGCAGGCCTTCAAGACCAAACTTATGAGAAAACAAAAAACTGAATGCAGCAATAATTCAGCACAGTCACCAGATCTGTGCTTATACTATGACAACTGTAAGCATTTAAGAGTCACACCTGCTCACATTAACGCAAAGTCAATATGAAAGGTTTTTGTAACTGATGAGCTTCATTGTTCTGCGTAAGACATGATCAGTCTTGTCCTCTATAAACCAGACATACTGCTGATTTCCAACCCTTATCCGCCCACAAGTTCCTCATCTCAATCAGTAACATTGGTCTCTGGGTCAATTACCTTGCTCTTCTGAGATGCAAACCAGTCTCGCACCTGCTGGTAGCTCATTCGTGACTTTTTGCAAAGGGCATCAAGGTCTTTCTCATGAAGAACCCCTGTCAAGCGATGGTAAACCACCAGCGGATTGATGTCCGGGGAATCTGCAGTGGATGTTGCTGTGGCGCCATTCACTTGAGACTTACGTTTGCGGCTACCCATAACCCGGGGGATCCCACTGGAACCGTTTCCACCAGTTACTCCACTGCCATTTTGCTGTGTGGCTAGTTCAGCCAGGAATTTGTCACGGACCCCCTGCACCCATCGTAGCTGGCCATTTTTAACAGCATAGCGCGTATCCCCAAACCACTGGATGATGTCTGCACGGGGCAAGCCAGTGAGTTCTACCAGCTGGGTGTAGTCCTCACTTTTAGGCCACTGGCAGCGCAGGAAGTGCTCCTTTAGTATATCCAGTTGTTCCTTTGTCTTCCGTGGTCGGCCAGCGGGTGTAAGAGGAGACCAGGATGAGGGAGGACTGGAGAGAGACAGGGCTGTGAGTGAGGCTTTGGCTGAGCGAGCAGACTTCTGCAGGTTGCTGGTGCTAGTGGAACTACGCTTAATAGGGGGGGCAGCAGTCGAAGGGGGAGGGGTGGTAGAATGAGAGGGGGAGGAGGAAGCGCAGATGGTAACGGCTGATGGTGGTTGTTTAATCTCTGGGTCTTTGCTGCCCCTAATCAACTGTAGGGGCCTTTCTTTTTTCACCACCAGCCTCAACAGTCTCAGTGTGAACAGAGGCTTCCTCCGCAACCTCGTCCTCCTCCGCCTCCACTGCTCCCTCCCCAAATGTCTCCAGGCTGTTGGACAGGAAGTTCTGGAAGAAGTGTGACTCTTTCACCCCGTTGCTGCGAGCTCCCTTCCCTTGAGCCCCTCCCTGCACTTCAATACCATTTTCCTGATCCCGAGGCCTGTGAGCTACAAGTGGAAGGGACTGAAGTTGCTGAGAATCATTCTTTGCTTCTCCTATGGTGAGCTGAGGGTAGACCATGGATGTTCTAAGCAGTCCGCGCCCATTTCTAAGCTGGTACCGGCTGTCGCTGAACCACTTGCGGATGTCATTGCGGCTCAGGCCCGTTTCCTCCTGCAGGCATCGGAGCTCTGTCTCTGCAGGCCAGTTTTCCCGCAGGAAGCTGCTGCGAAGGACTGCAAGCTGAGCTTTGGTTTTTTTGTAGCGTCCGCGTTGTTGTTGCTGTGGGGAGCCAAGTGAGGTCTCAGAGAGGCTCAGGGAAGCATCTGTTGCGGTAGTTTCTGGCATGTCCACAGGAGGGCGGTAGTAGTATGAATCCTGAGGGGGTGGGAGAGAGGAACTGAAATGTCGGATTGTGGAGGCTGGTTTGCAGTGTTCTGGAGTCTCATGTCTGGCTTGTTTTCTTAAGTGGAGCAGGGAAGAGTGAAGACCATTATTAATTTGATCTTTGTCCTCTGCTTCCACAAATATCTCCCCACACTCCTTCCTCTTATTCCTCATCTTTATCTCCTCCTTCTCATTTGCATAGTCGTTAGTCCACTCAGGTCCGGCCAGCTTGCAACGCGTCTCCTCAATCTCCTCTGAGGCCCAGCTGATGCCGTATTTGATTCTCTGCACCATAAACCAGACCTTGACTTTGTCCAGAGGCAGGGCACAGAGCCGTGCCAAGGCATTCACCTCACGAGATGTTGGGTATGGGAACACATTGAATGCCTGGACCAGCTCTTGGATGGTGTCAAGCTCACATGTCTGATTTGACTGTGTCCATACTAGCTTCAGGCCCTCAGAGACTAAAGGCAGGCACACCACAGAGTTGTGGTTGGTGCTGAAACTAACACCACCATCTCTGACCTTGCCTGCATCACTGTTTGTTGCATTGTGGTCAAAGGATAGATGGCTCTTTCCATTGGTGATCTGGTGGTGTGCAGTCTTGGAGGAACGCGGGGAGGCATGCTTTCCTTCACGCACTGTCCTTGTGACATCACCCTGGAATGACTCCTTCATGTTCACCTCCAGGCCTATTCTTCTGTTACGGTCAACGTGTGTTGCCATCGGTGATGTCACTGCACGTCACTCCAGTCTAGTAGAGATAAGACAATAAAGATATCAATAACATTGTGCTCAAATTGATTATCACACTAATAAAACATTTGAGAAATCACACTGGAGGTTGCCAATGTCTAGTCCAGGGGTCTCCAACAGGTAGATCGCTTGCCTGTCGGGCAGAAAGTAGCATTTGAATCAGGAAAGTGTCCTCTCACGACCTCTACAAGCAAGAATGTTAAAAAATATATATTTTAACATACTTTACCGGTTGTCCGTGCAGTTGGTCCTTTTGGCAGTAGGAATGTGAGAATATATCCACAGTAAAGTATAATCACATCAACTTTTCAAAGAGCTCTGTCCTCTGAGAATCAAGTTAGACCCCCCCCCACAGAGGCAGTGAGTCACAACGGAAACACCTATGGAAAGAGAAAAGAGATTGAACATTTGACATTTTCAATGTGTAGGTGATTCATACATGACAAAATATAAAAATATATAAAAATTGTCATTCATAGAGGAAGATGTTTTATAATATAATCTGTATTTGAAAACAGCAATAAAACAGCTATGGCAGAGGACAATTGACTTTATTCAAAAGGCAAACTTGAGACTGGCTATTAGAGGAGGAATTGATGTACAACTTTTGCCCTTATCTGACCAAAAGCATAAATTAAGTTAATTGTCAATTCACAGAGAAAACTGTATGGAATGCAACAGGTGCATATTTTGTATTTCTTATATTCCTTTTGTTGTAGCATTATTGAGAGGGAACCTGCAAGTAAACATTTCATTGTACTGTGGTGTGTACACCATGTGTATCATGTGCACATGACAAATACACTTGGCTTGACATGGTAATTTCCCCCTGACAAATACAGTTACAAAGTTTGGATTGAATCCAATGTCCCATACTAAAGCTCTATCCTTTTTTCCCCCTGGTCCTGGAGGGCCACAGTGTGGATGTCCTAGCCTGGCACTAATGGCAGGAAACCTAGCGATTAAGAGCATAGGGCCAGTAACTGAAAGGTCGCTGGTTTGAATTCCTGAGTCGACTAGGTGAAAAGTCTGTCGATGTGCCCTTGAGCAATGCACTTAACCCTAATTGCTCCTGTAAGTCACTCTGGATAAGAGCATCTGCTAAATGACCAGAAATCAAGACAAAGAAAGAGAGGCAGACAGACGTAATAGAGAGATTCATGTGATTAAAATAACCTGAATGTATCAGGATATTTTCTACTGTTATTATTTATTGACTTTAGGCTTATGTATTTTACTTAGTTCACTATGGAAGTGATAGCCTATAGGCCAATGCAGCAATAGGCCTATCTCAGAGTTCCATGCCTAATTTCTTTAGCTGCCAATGAATGTGTCCATATGGCAAAGGCTGGTGCTCTTGCATTAGTTTAATTTTAACTTTTTGATTTGTATCATTTTAATTCATTCAGATTTCTATGATTAACCACATGACAATACTTTTGAGAAACCAAAAGGTTATTATTGAAATGGAACTTTTCCACTAAAATGTGCATATAAAAATACTCATAACTGGCACGCAAATATATAAGGATACATTGTAAGCTTGCACACATTTGAAACTCAGGAGCTGCCTATGTTCTTTATTGTGACACCCATTTACTATAACACCCATTGATAAAAACGGGCCCGCCTACTGAAATCAAATACCCGTCCAACTGATTCGTTCTGGCACCGGCCCTGGTCAGGGGCTGGGCTATCTAATCTCGGAACCCAGATTAGGGAACTAAATGTATCCTGCTGCGTTCTGTTGCAACCAATGACTGTGCTTGGAACTCTTTGGATCTCGGAAATTATACATTTATATCACCAAAATGATGTGGGCCAATCAGTGAACGAGCAAACTAGTAGCCCGTGACAAAAAACTAATGTTGCCAACGACAGAGAAAGCTCTCGGACGCTTTGCTAATAGTAGCCTAACCAGGCCTCATCATTTTGACATTGTTACAAATGTAACATCAAGACAGCATACAATGCTGAACAACTCACAAGTTGCAATAGATATCTTGATCCTTTGTGGCGTACTAGCTCAAATGGTCAGACTGCACAGGCGCACTCACCCCGACACGCTTCAGTAATAACAAAAAAACAAACTTACCGGAATCATGTATTACCCCCTTTATTCTCTGGCGTTGGATAAAGTAAAAACAAATTATCCCAATCTTCGCTTTTGTTAACACTGTTAATGGCTGAAGTTGGAGACAACACCGGGAAACAATACAGTCTGTCTCACCCTGTCGCTTTATCTATCGGTCGAACCTCAAACGGGTTCTCGTTTCAGATACAATGACGCGAAACAATTCTAGAACTTTGTTATATCTCAAGTTAAGACCCAAACTGATACTTGATATGATAAACCGTTAGAAGTGAATAATCAATTGGTTGAACCTGTTTCCTTACTGTACCCCTCTCGGTCAGTTGTTGCTTTAGTTCTGAAAATCCTAGTGTTCCCCTGTCCTGCCAAAACGAGGCGACGAGGACCAGAAACTCTCACAGGCCCACCATCTCCTGAGTGACGGTAGAGAGGGTGTGGTATTCTATGCAAATCAGGACTGGGCTTGGATAAAGGAGGCGCTTGTAAAGGACTGGTCAGCAAAATAACTCTTCCAGATGCCAAAACACACTTATGGGAACTGCAATCGCCATGTTTGTAAGGTTATGTAAATATATATTTTTAGAAAGTGTTTCCAGACTCCAGTGAGTGCAGACTACATTTACATATACAACGTTTTATAATAATCTACTTTGTCACATAAGCATTATTTGACTCAATGACCAACAGTGGAGCGTTTTGTCCTCAAATAAAAACCTTGCCCTAGGGGGATGCGGCCATCATACTTTATGAAAAGTAATAGATGTATATTACTTATATGTTTTATATGGACATATATGGTGGAAACATACACTATGTATACAAAAATGTGTGGACACCCCTTCAAATTAGTGGGTTTGGCTATTTCAGCCACACCCGTTGCTGACAGGTGTATAATATCGAGCACACAGCCATGCAATCTCCATTGACAAACATTGGCAGTAGAATGGCCTTACTGAAGAGCGCAGTCACTTTCAACGGGGCACATTCATAGTATGCCACCTTTCCAACAAGTCAGTTTGTCAAATTATTTGTGCTACTAGAGCAGCCCCAGTCAACTGTAAGTGCTGTTATTGTGAAGTGGAAACTTCTAGGAGCAACAATGACTCAGCTGCGAAGTAGTAGGCCACACAAGCTCACAGAACGGGACCGCCAAGGGCTGAAGGGCATAGCACGTAAAAATAATCTGTCCTCGGTTGCAACACTCACTACTGAGTTCCAAAGTGCCTCTGGAAGCAACGTAAGCAAAATAACTGTTCACCGGGAGCTTAATGAAATGTGTTTCCATGGCCGAGCAGCCACACATAAGCCAAAGATCACCATGCACAATGCCAAGTGTCGGCTGGAGTGGTGTAAAGCTCGCCTCCATTGGACTCTGGAGCAGTGGAAACGCGTTCTCTGGAGTGATGAATCACGATTCACAATCTGGCACTCCGACGGAAGAATCTGGGTTTGGCGGATGCCAGGAGAACGCTACCTGCCCCAATGCATAGTGCCAACTGTAAAGTTTGGTGGAAGAGGAATAATGGTCTGGGGCTGTTTTTCGTGGTCCGTGCTAGGCTCCTTAGTTTCAGTGAAGGGAAACCTTAACGGTACAACATACAATGGCATTCTAGACGATTCTGTGCTTCCAACTTTTTGGCAACGGTTTGGGGAAGGCCCTTTCCTGTTTCAGCATGACAACGCCCCCATACACAAAGCGAGGTCCATACAGAAATGGTTTGTCGAGCTCGATGTATAAGACCTTGACAGGCCTGCACAGAGCCCTGACCTCAACCCCATCGAACACCTTTGGGATGAATTGGAACGCCAGGTCTAATCGCCCAACATCAGTGCCTGACCTCACTAATGCTCTTGTGGCTGAATGGAAGCAAGTCCCTGCAGCAATTTTCCAACATCTAGTGGAAATACTGCTTTTATAGCAGTAAAGGGGGGACCAACTCCATATTAATGCATGATTTTGAAATGAGATGTTTGACGAGCAGGTGTCCACATACTCTTGGTCATGTAGTGTATATGCCCATATATCAAATCAAATCAAATCCAATCTTATTTGTCACATGCGCCAAATACAACAGGTGTAGACCTTACCGTGAAATGCTTACTACAAGCCCTTAACCGACAATGCATTTCAAGAAATAGAGTTAAGAAAATATTAACTAAATTTTCGTTTTTTAAATTAACACAATAAAATAACAATACCGAGGCTATATACAGGGGAGCAGTACCGAGTCAATGTGCGGGTGTAAAGGTTAGTCGAGATAATTTGTACATGTAGGTAGGGGTAAAGTGACTGCATGGATAATAAACAGGGTGTCAATGTAAATAGTCCAGGTGGCCATTTGATTAATAGCAGTCTTATGGCTTGGTAGTAGAAGCTGTTAAGGAACCTTTTGGACCTAGACTTGGTGCTCCGGTACCGCTTGCCGTGCGGTAGCAGAGAGAACAGTCCATGACTTGGGTGACTGGAGTCTTAAACCATTTTTTGGGCATTCCTCTGCCACCGCCTAGTATATAGGTCCTGGATGGCAGGAAGCTTGGCCCCAGTGATGTACTGGACCATACGCATTACCCTCTGTAGCGCGTTATGGTCGGATGCCGAGCAGTTGCCATACCAGGCGGTGATGCAACCGATCAGGATGCTCTCGATGGTGCAGCTCTATAACTTTTTGAGGATCTGGGGACCCATGCCAAATCTTTTCAGTCTCCTGAGGGGGAAAAGGTGTGTCGTGCACTCTTCACGACTGTCTTGGTGTGTTTGGACCATGATAGTTTGTTGGTGATGTGGACACGAAGGAACTTGAAACTCTCGACCCACTCCACTACAGCCCAGTCGATGTGAATGGGGGCGTGTTCGGCCCTCCTTTTCCTGTAGTCCACG